TCCACATGCTCATGGAGTGGAAGAATCAACATTGTGAAGATGTCCATCTTACCTAAGGCAATCTACAAATTCAATGCAATACCCATTAAGTTACCAACAACATTCTTCTCAGACCTAGAAAAAACAACACAGGAATTCATATGGAAACACAAACGTCCAAGAATAGCCAGAACAATCCTCAGCAAAAAAAAAAAAGCAGGTGGTATCACAATACCAGATTTCAAACTTTACTATAAAGCTACAATCATCAAAACAGCTTGGTATTGGTACAGGAACAGGCATATAGATCAATGGAACAGAATTGAGATTCCAGAAGCAAAAACCTCAATTTCTCAACCAACTCATCTTCGACAAAGCCCCCACCACCTACCAATGGGGAGAGGAGAACCTATTCAGTAAATGGTGCTGGGAAAATTGGCTGACCACATGCAGAAGATTGAAACAGGACCCCTATCTATCCCCATGCACAAAGGTTAACTCCAAATGGATCAGAGACCTAAATGTAAAACCTCAAACCATAAGAACCTTAGAAAAGGAAGGAAGTACTCTCATAGAAATCGGAACTGGCATCCAATTCCTGTACAAAATCCGAAACCCACAGGACTTAAGAGAGAAGATAGACAATGGGACTTTATTAAACTGACAAGCTTCTGCAAGCCAAAGAAACCATCAAGAGAGCAGGTAGACAGCCTACAGACTGGGAAAAAGTATTTGCCAACTCTAGGTCTGACAAAGGCTTAACATCCTGGATCTACAAGGAACTGAAGCGTACTGAAAAGAAGAAAACAAACAACCCCATTATAAAATGGGCAAAAGACATGAACAGACACTTCACAAAAGAAGACATTCGAGCCAGCCAACAAACACATGAAGAAATGCTCAACCTCACTAATCATCAGGGAGATGCAAATCAAAACCACACTGAGATACCACCTAACTCCAGTCAGAATGGCAATTATCAACAACTCAAAAAATAACAGCTGCTGGAGAGGGTGTGGTGAAAAGGGAACACTTCTACACTGTTGGTGGGAGCGTAAACTAGTGCAACCTCTGTGGAAAGCAGTGTGGCGATTCCTAAAAGCTCTAAAAATTGACCTTCCATATGACCCTGCAATCCCCCTACTGGGAATATACCCTGAAGAACCCAAATCACTCTATAAAAAAGATACCTGCACACGCATGTTTATCGCAGCATTGTTCACTATAGCAAGAACCTGGAAACAACCATGCTGCCCATCAAAAGAGGACTGGATTTAAAAAATGTGGTACATATACACGATGGAATACTACGCAGCCATAAAATAGAACAAAATCATGAATTTCGCTGCAACCTGGATGGAACTAGAGTCTATAATACTGAGTGACCTCTCACAAAAACAAAAATCCGAATATCACATGTTCTCACTCATATAATGGACCTTGAACATCCAATGCAATACTATAAGAAAATGACTGATGGTATTGGAAAACTATGGGGGGGAGGGGGATGGCATTAACAGTAGCAAATATCTGTCGGGGGATGGGAAAACACTTCTTATCTACAGGGTGCCTGAATGAAATGTCATTGTACACCTAACCCTTAACTGTACCCCACAAAACCATAATAAAAAATACTTATTAATGAAAAAAAAATGATCCTTCATAGTATTAAGAGAGAACAACTAATATAAGAATTTTTGATGAAGTCATTAACATAGAAAACAAGAGTACACTGCTTGCAGAGATATTTTCACAGATATTTTGCAGAGTATTTTCATAGCTCAGGTTTCTTTTCCTGTGAAGCATGCATAATTATTCCTGAAATCTAAACAAATTTGAGGTGCTATATACTTTAGAGATGCTGGAAGTGATGTATTATTTTAATCTTTCCAGTAAATCAAATTATCACTTGGACAAGGTCAAATGCAATTTTGCCAGAAATATGATCATTACTGGCAAGAATTCTGATACTTAACCCAAGCTGCAAACAACATTCTTCCATTGTGATGAACCAGTATCTTTCTAATCCAGTGGTATCATTAATTAGTTATATCCAGAACCCCACAAGTTTGGGTTTCTGAGAGAAAGTAATCCAAGTGAACCAAAATTGTCTAAAATGATAATTAAAATATTAAAGAAACTTGGAAAATTTTCTGAAATTAGAATTAGTCTCAAATGTAAAAGATCTCTAAATTGAGCTTAAACAGTTTTTAACATTCTTAAAATTACCATGCACACACACACACAAAACTCCACATAATTTGTGATGTAACTAAAATTGAATGCTTTTATTTTATTTCTCAGAGTGAGCAAACTTTGAGTCACACTATCTGGAAAATGCATAATACAATATATGATAATTGGTCAGAATTATGGTAAAGATGTGTGTGATTCCTGGTCTAAAATAAGAACAATTAAGAATAAAATTTCAATTTATTTTATATTTTAAAATCGTCTACTCACTCACATATATAAGGTTTGGTGGTATATCTCTGTAATAAAAAAATGAAGTTAAAAGTTTTATTTGACATGAATATTTTAAATTTAGGAAAACAATATTTGATTACTAAGGTGATGTGAAGCAACCATATCAGGTGTCTACATAGTGCAAGTCCTTGGGAAACTTGTGTGACACAATTCATGATTAACCAGATATAAACAGAGATCAAATTTTGATTTTTAAAAAGGTCAGTCACTGGTTTAAATCAAACATATGAACAATCAAAAATTTAGAAGATATTCAAATTGATACAATGACAACCATGCCATACTTGCCTGGAAAACAAAATTATTCTACATAAGCAAATATATAATTAATTGATGATTGGCATTAAAAAGCAAAGTAATAATTATTTCTAAAATGCATTATTATATTAGTTCTGTTTTTGTATAGAATTTACAGAATCAAACTTGACTCATCAATCTGTGAGATTTCTGAGATTAATAATTGCGTCTTAAATTTTGTGTTCCCTTGGTAATATTTCAGGAACTTCACATAAAATCAATATTTTTACTTGATAGAATCTTGGAGACTGTGCCCCAGCCTGTCATGACTTATTCTTCCACAGGTACACTTCTATTCAGCTATGACTCTTCAGAGTTCTTCTGTAACCCTGACCTTCTCATTGCTAAACTAAAATTAAACAATATTTCAGAAATGATTTACCATGCATATATATAAAACAATAAATTTGATTTATGGTCAGATATATACTTGTTTCATAAATTCTCTAAGCCTGCCACAACAAATTACCATAAATATGGCAGTTTAAAACAACAGAAATATATTTTCTCACAGTTTTTGACAACCAGTTGCTAGCAAAATTAAGTTCCCTATGAAGGCACTAAAAAATAATCCTTTCTCTCTTCTTGGCTTTTAGTAGCAAATTGCCAATCCGCTTTTATCTTTATAAGGCCTTCTTTCCTGTCTTTTCTGTCTTTTGCAAAGACATTTTTATTGGATTTAGGGCTAACCCTAATCCACCATAATCTCATTTCAATTCTTACCTTAATTACATCTGCAAATAGACTATTTCCAGATAAGTTCACCTTTAAGATTTTGGGTGGACATAAATATTTTGGGGGACAACATTCAGCCCACAACACTTGTGTTGTATCATATATGTTTCACAGCTACATTGCTAAACATTGAAGTGGATAAAAATCAGATAGGCAAATAGCCAGTTTATTACAATAGATTTTACAATCTGACTAGTGAATTGACTAAATAATATGAACCATTGTCTCTACTAGAATCACTGAAGAAGACTCAATATAATACATCAGATTACTTTTGGGTCTATATTTCTTCAAAAAATTGTGTTGGGTGATTCATGAACTTCCTGATACTTTCTTTCACATCTTTGTCCTAAGGTTGTAGATCAAAGGATTCAGCATGGGGATGATGATTGTATAAAATACAGAACCCACTTCGACTCTGAGCCATGAATTTTGGGAGTTGGGTACACAGTAAAAGAACAGAACAGTTCCATGGAAAATGGTGATAGCAGTCAGGTGGGAAGCACAAGTAGAGAAAGCTTTCTAGCACCCAACAGCAGAAGGCATTATTATGATAGTGACAAAGATGAAGATGTAAGTAGTCAGGATGACTCCCAGGCTGCTCACCTCATTGAATATAGAAATGACAAACAAAGCACTTGGCTAATGTAGGGGACAGAGCAGGAGATGGAGACAGTGACACAGTGCTCACAGACAAAATTATTGATTATGTTAGACCCACAAAAAGACAATGACAAGAGAAAATAGGTGAATGTCAGGGAAGAGACTATGCCCCATGTGTAGAGCCCAGCCACGAATGATGCACAGAACTTTGGGGACATGATGACTGTGTAGAGCAGAGGGTTACACACTGCCACATATCGGTCATAGGCCTTCACTGCCAACATGAATGTTTCTGCCACTACAAATAAACAAGTCAAGAAGAATTACATGATGCATCCTGTGAAGGAGATGGTTTTGTCTTCCACAACCAAGTTCTCCAGCAGTTTGGGTGTAATTGTGACGGAATAACAGAAATCAACAAAGGACAAGTGACTAAGAAAAAAGTACATGGGCATGTGGCGTTTGGGGTTGATCTTGATGATCATGGTCATGCCCAGGTTTCCCACCACTGTGACTGTGTAGATGGTCAGAAATACCAGGAAGAGGGGCACCTGCAGGTCTGTATATTCTGAGAAGCCCAAGAGAGTAAAAGTGGCTTCAGAACTCTGATTTCCCTCTGCTGACATAATGGTTGTTGAAGAAAATCTTAAATATTGGTAAAAAATAATTATACACTTGTCTAATAATTACCATTTATTATAATTATTAATTTATTCCTAAATCTAAAACTTATTAATTTAGATTTCCAGATAACATGATGCATTGTACAACACATAACTCCATATTTTTTATATAAAAGAACTGAGGCACATATAAGTTAAGAAACTTGTTTAAGGTTACACAGCTTGTAGGAGATGAGGTGGGTTTCGAAGTTGATCCTCACAGGCAGAAGTAGGAGTACTGTAATCCTTCCTTGTTTGTGGAGCATATATTTTAAGGTCCCCAGTGAATGCCTGAAACCATAAATGACACCATCCCGCATATACACTATATTTTTTCCTGTACATACAAATTCACAAGATTTAATTTATAAATTAAGCATGGTAAGATAGTAAAAACAATATATAACAATAAAATAAAACAGTAATCACAAGGTGACACCATCATTACTTTTGCCTTTTGGAGCCACTTAAGTAAAATAAGGCTCACTTGAACACAGACATCATAATACCATGAAAATTGAGCTATATATAAATTTTTTCTTTCTTTCATCTTTAAGAGATGATCTGATGAAAGAGACAATATATACATGACCAAGGGACAGATGGTATCTACAACATGGGTTTTGCCAGACAAAGGGGTCAATTCATGTCCTAGGTAGGATGGAACATAATAAAGTGATATTTGATCAAGTTGATCAGAAGGACACACATTTTAAAACTCTGAGTAATTTATTTTTGGAATTTTCCCTTCAATTTTTTTGTACCACTGTTGCCCATGGGTAACTGAAACCTTGTAAGCAAAACTGCAGATAAGGAAAGACTACTGTATTTTTATTTATATTAGATAGAAAACGCTTCTATAGCATTTTTGAAAAAGTGTTTATCACAGTTTCATCATTCTGAAGGTCTGTGCTTTTTACCAGTGGTAATAAAATGATTATTGTAAATTCAGTGCTAAGTAGTATAGAGGAAGATCAGGAGAAGCACAGTTTTAGAGGAGCAGATACTGCCATAGCTACATGGTAGATGTCCAACCTGAGTATCATAGGAAAGACAGTCTTGGTGTGTTACCACAGGAAATTTTTCACTTAATATACTTAGACATTGAAGGAAATATAGTCTTGTATATTTCAACATTTCTGTTGATTCCATCTTTATGCCACAATCATTGCTTATTGTTTAAAAAATTATACAGCAACATGGTAAAGTGATGAGGCAGCGTTTTTGACACATATCCTCACTCCCTTGTCTTCTTTCCTACTTAAGTGATTTCTCACTTTGTGACACTAATACTCTTGGCTTATTATTATTATTATTATTATTATTATTATTTTGAGTTGGAGTCTTACTCCGTCACCCAGACTGGAGTGCAGTGGCATGTCACAGTCACCCTAGCATTGACCTCCTGGACTCCAGTCATCCTTCTTCCTCAGCCTTCCAAGTAGCCAGAACTATAGGCACAAGCTACCACACCCGGCTAATTTTTTTTTTTTAATTTATTGTAGAGACCAGGTTCTGCCAAGTTTCCTGGGTTGGTCTCAAACCTGCGGTCATTATTTTTTACTTTTCATTATTATTTTCTAATCTGGTAACTTGCATATCATTTTATTAGGTACTCATAGAATTTTTGATTTGGAAAGTGACGCAAAAGGTGTTTTGTCTATGCCTTCTATTTTCTTTAGAGCATAAAGAATATGATAATCATTGCCAGTGGTTACATAATTATCTTAACCTTTCTGCGGACAAGAACATTGCCACTCTAGGTAATGTAGAGGGTTTTAATTAAATATGTGATCACGTTGTTTTGAATCATTTAATTTTTGTTATATTTGAAAATGTTATTTAGAAAAAATACAAACATCTAAAATTTACAAGCAATTTATAACCACAAAAGTATTTTTAATCGAATTAAGCTTTTAAAAAATCAACTGTCTGGGTTTGGTGGCTAAGTCTTTAATCCCAGCACTTTGGGAAGCAGAGGTGTGTGGATTGCCTGAGCCCACGAACTCGAGACCAGTCCGGACAAGTTGGCAAGAACTTGCCTCAAAAACCTAAATAAAATAAAGTAAAATAAAATAAATTAGCCAGGCATATGAGTGCGCACCTGTAGTACTGGTTACTCGAAAGACTGAGGTGGAAGGATCACTGGAGCCCAGCAGGTTAATGCTGGGTTGGCCATGATTGTGCCACTGTACTCCAGCCTGGGTGAAGGAGTGAAACTCTAACTCAAAAAGAAAAAAAAATCAACTGAGTCAACACCAAGCACAACTCTGAAGTGTTCTAGTTAATAAAAGGTAATAGTATGAATCCCATAAACAAAGACACAATTTGAGTTTTGTCTGACCACCTCAAGGTAAGAAAGAACTATTGCTATCTCTTTCTTAGTGAAATGCTGTTTCTGACATTTCAAAAATATATTCCCTTCATGAGGAAAAGGAAATGGACAGGTGAGTGGCAAACAATTCATGATAGGTCAGCATAGTGAAAGAAGCATGGACTAAGGAAACAAAGATTTAATTTCAATTTCAAGCTTTTTCACTTGCTCTTTCATCTCTCAGAAATTATTCAGATTTTCTTAGCCTCAGCTTTTTAATCAATAAAATGAGAATAGTGACAAAATAATACATAATTCTCAGGCATGTGAGTATTAATTCATTAGTAACTATCCTTTAGTAAATTATCTTCATTTTCTCCTTTACTTTCTCTGACTCTTTCTGGTCCTCTATTTCTCATCTCAGCTTTGTGTCTATGGAAAATCTACCAAACAACCATCACTACTCTGGTAGATTGTGGTAGCAAAGGCACAGCCCACTTCCTTGTAATGATCCTGCCTTACATGGTAAGATCATCGATTTCTTCATCCTTCAGACTATGAAAACTTCAGTTGTTCTCTATGACCTAATTTATCAATTCTAAATTTATCTGCTTAGTTTTACCTAAAACCTTACCCTAGCTATTCCCCAGTATTCAGTCTTCTTTAAGCATGCCAGTATTCTCAGTTTATAATGCATAATACATGCTCATATTTTTTTTGTTTTATTTGATTTTTTTTTACCTGAAATATCCTCTTTTTTTGGCCCACTGATGCAACATTAGATGCAAACCACTATCACAAAGTAAGGTCCTCTTTTTACTCCATCAATGTCTTCTACATTCTTGGTGTACTTGTTGGCATTATCGGGAAATCAAAATGTCATGATATATTCTGTTCACTGTTACTTTATGCTTGTTATTATTTTTCTACAAGATTTTGAGAGGTTCCCAGATTTTATCATTTTATTTTTTAAAAATTCAGTATGACTGTATTGTGCTAGCCACAATGTGGATATTCTAAAATCAAAAATATTGATACCTCAGAGAAGAAAGATGAGAGCTCAGAATACTGAGCCCCTGGTGAGACAGACTTAGTAGATTCTGGCATCTCGACTAATCTAGACTTTCCTAATTTAAGTGTTGCTGAACTTCAGTATCCTTCATATGAATGAAAGATAACATAAGATATGTCACTATCTTGAAACCAGCTTACCTGAAGATCCTGTACTTATTTATTAATAGTCTCCAGGGAAGTTTCCATTCAGAATTCAAGCTTTACTTAAAACATTAAATCTTGGTAAATATACCAGGAGTTCACAATATATTTCATTTAATGTTTTATAAATATACTTCTTTCTTAGTATTCAAAAAAACAGAGAGAGAGAGAGAGAGAGAGAGCGAGCACTTTGGAAATGGATTCTGACTTCTAGGATCATAATGCCTCCATGATTTGGGGATTTAGATCCTAAAGAATTTTTACTGACTACTTAATTTTAGAACACAAAGTCAGATATTAGATTAAATGTCTTTGTGGAATTTTGCAAGTATGTAATTTCTTCTAAACCACCAGAGACAATGCCTCATCAAGCCTACTTCATTAATTTATGTTAGAATTTTTATTATAGAAAACATACAAATTCACTTAGAAAACAAGGTAACTGCAGTAAAACAAAGGAAACAACAAATCAGTGAGGATGCAACAATTAAGAGAAAACTGCTATTGACATTTACTGTCTTTTTAAAATTCTATATATATTATGTCTGTGTGGAGATGGATAAAAAAGTGTGTACATTCTAGCATTTTTTAAACCTAAAATAATCACCATTGTCCATGATATTATTGATTTACTTCTTTGAAACTAGTAAGTGTTTTCTTCTAAATATGAGCACATCACTCTTCCGAGCTTATATTGTTACAATTAAGTCATGAAATATATTTGTGTCACACCTTCTTTCAAATAACAAATGTATTTTGCAAGCATTTTAATTCTCTAAAACCACTGGGTACTAAACAATTCACTGGTTTCACTACACCTAAATATCCTATAAATAGTTCCATTTAAGCTCTCCCTGGACTCCTGACTGCCTGACTGACCCTTGCCTGGCTCTCTACCAGGGACCCTAACCAACAGAGGCAATTTTCACAGGGCATTCAATTTTTTATTGTAGATGACATGAACTTGTTCCAGAATTCCAGATACCTGCACTGCTTTTCTCCCATGGAGATTGGCATGAGCTTCCATTGACACCTCTGCAACCTGGACTAGCTGTAGAGTCAGTTTTTACACCAGAATCACAGAATCATTCAAAACTGGCAGACTTCTATGTCACTTTTATTAATTTGAGGGATGCATAACAAATTACTACCAACTCAGTGGCTTAAATAAATACACTTAAGTTTTTTTTTTTCTTTTTGACGTACTTTGTTAATGCTGAGGTGCAGTGGCACAATTCTTGCTCACTATAGCCTTGAACTCCTGACCCAAGTGATCCTCCTGCCTCAACTTCCCAAGTAGCTGAGACTACAGGCATGTGCCACCATGCCTGGCTACATTTTTCTTCCTTTCTTTTTCTTTCCTTCTTTCTTTCCTTCTTTCTTTCTTTCTTTCTTTCCTTCTTTCTTTCTTCCTTCCTTCCTTCCTTCCTTCCTT